TTTTATTATTTTACAATTTAATTGTATATACTGTTATATTAAATTACTAAAAATATAAAAATACAAAATTATTTTTGTTTTTGCATATACATACATAAAATCAAAAAAGAGAAGATATGTTGAATACTTTTATACACGGTGTATAAAAAGGACCTTATGTTACAGGATTTCTTTTAATACGCTAATGTGTAATTGAATTTATTATATTAATAAATTAATAAAATTTATTTGATTAAATCAATAATTTTTCTTATTTAATGCACAAAAATAATTATTAAAAATATTTGCCTTGGTGTTATTAAAAATATTTTTTGAACCATCTATGCGTTAGCATTTTTAGCATATGTAAGTGGTTTATTTTTTCAATTGGTCAAAATTTTCTTTTTGGAAATTGTAAACAGCGCAACGACCAAAATTTTTTTATTTTTGTTCAAAAATTTCCTCCACAAATACTTCTATGCTTTCGTAAGTTCAATTTTTTAACATTATAGGAATTGTTTTCGACACAATTTCTTTAGTAAGTTTATATGTGACTTTCCTATTTGCAGAAGTCAATTTAGGCGCTATTTTTTGCTACAATTTAATATCATATATTGACGGAATCTGTGCGTTCTTAGTGATCACAAAAAATACTTAGAATTGCTCTGTCTCTTCTAGTTTGTCAGAAAACGTGTTTAAAATTTTTAAATGAATGTTTTCAAATATCTACAAAATATTTTTGCTACAGCTTAATATCATATATTGGCGGAATCTGTGAGTCCTCAGTGATCGAAGTTGTTTAATAATAACGAAATATGCTTTACCTTAAAAATTGCCTTTTATTTACACATTTAAGTTTTCACAACCGAATATATTTTACGGTATTATAATATTGACTTTCAATTCATGCCAAGTAATATAAGATGTATTCATATATTTCTATGAATGTGTACAAAAATAGATTTTTTTTATAGGTATAACAAAACGAAGCTAAACTGTAGTCACAAATAAATCACCGCGATGTGTTTATCAATTTATTCTTAATAAAGAGTTTGGAAGTACTTTTCAAATACTAATATCAGAATTTAAGAAAACACGTAGAGTATATGTTCTCACTAACGTACCTCTTACAATGCTAATTTGTTTTTTATAGACGAGGTTCTATTTTTCTAAACAAAATAAAACCTAAATGTAAAATTTCGAGAAATTTTATTATTGTTCTTTTTTGATATGGTCTAAAATTCAAAGGCGCTCGATTTCGGTTTCCGCAAACAGACATTTTCGAAAAATTTCTTAGTTAATTTTTGTAACAACCCGGAGAGGAAATCTAATTTGTAACCAGATTTGATTAATTAAAAAATAATGATCTAAAAATTATTTTTAATGAATTAAGCCAGGTATTTCGCGAGTATTATTCAATATAATTTCACCTTTTTTAAAAAATGTTACGTAGCTTCGCAAGATCGACCTTCAAAAAAGTTCATAAGCAAAATTTTAGAGTTTTGAAACACGAGAGATAAAAATAACTTACCTCCCATAAGTCTTAACGGACTTTTAAATATATGGGAGCTAGCTGCTCTTGCTTGCTGATTTTACGCATTTGCAATAACGATTTGATATATCGATTAAAATAAGCAGAGTCAGTGTCAATGCTAAGCTTCAAGTATATTCAACGTTTGCTCTTTCAAATGAAATGTCAACAACAGACAAGCAGAATCCCGGACAAGCGAATGGATATGAGTAGAGTTATTTACAATCCGATTCTAAGTAATTTTGTATACGTATTATTAACTTGCTTTATAAAGTTACTTTATAAGGTCAGAAATGCTCTTTTTTGCTGTAAGATTTTGAAATTATCTCTATCTGATGTGCTTTTACAATCTAACACATTTGGATCAACACTTCATTTGTGTTTTGTTTTTATTTAAAATTTAAATTTTAAGCAATTTGTTTATATTTTTTATATTCCTACATCAGATATTTTGTGGTTAGTAAATATTTACGAAAAACAATAATAAATATGTAAAAGACAAAAAATTATTATGTTGTTACTACTTGCAAACGTATTTACTTGTATACATATACTATTTTTTGTATAATGTCACAAAGTGAAGAGGCTTATAGAATAAGGACTTCTATAAAAACAAGTTAAGCCAAATTTTAGTTGTATGCAACGAAATATTCACTACTACTCATGCATAGAAATCGTTGTAATTTCAACACATACATACATGAGCAATAACAGATGTATCCATAAGTATATATCTGTTATTGCTCTCTGTTAATTTAAAAAAAGTGTCAAACTGTATTTTTCTACAGTATTAAAACTAAACTACGATTATTATACAACTTTTGATAAATATAAATTTTTGACTTAATATAAATTTTGTAAACTATAGTAGCGTTTTTACTCTACATAACAGTGATTTATACTTTATATTTTTTTCGAGTATATTTCTTACCTATAATGCGGCGAAGATCTTGAAAAACTTTACATTTTTAATTCAGAGATGTATTTAAAATTTGCTGTTTTGATAATTTACGAAACTTGTCTGATGAAGGAAAACCCTGACTGTTTGCTTTATTGTTTCAAATAGCGTTACTTGATACAGAAAAATCTCCACAGAAGGTATGCATAAATAAAAACTATAATGAACATATATATTAAACATTTTCGGATACTTGGGTGATAATAATAGCATTTCAAATTAGATCTAACATGCAATCTTTGGGTTTGTCTGTAAACGCTGGTGAAATTTGATAACTTCCAATATTATAAGAGGCAACGAGGTATGTTCTTCGCGAATGATTAATATCAGCCAAAAATTAATTTGAGTTTCCGGATGGCTCCGGATCACAATTATAATTGTAAGGTTGTTTAAGGCTTGATGAAGCTTGTATAACCTTCGACATATTACAATAAGACTTTAAGTGGAAGTCAAATTTAAAAATTTGCTAAACTATTCATCTTTCAAGCGTTTTGCGCAGAAAAATTTACTTTTAATAAAAAAAGTTTACATTAGACCAAATGTGTCTCATAGATTAGAATTTTTTAATTAATTTTTTTTTTTCGTATTTCAAAAAATTCTTGAATAAATGAAAAGTGGCTATATTTGGTAATTCACTCCGTCGGTTTATTTTTTAATTGATCCCATTTTCAAGAACACGTTTCTTAAAACATAACGCATTACTTTCATCCTATAATAAGAATGAATGAAATCATTTTTAAAAGAGAATATTATTCTCGTCTACCTACTAACATGAACAGCTGTTTCTATTATTACTACTTTATCGATTATCTGTTAAAAACACTTACTGTTAATCCTTAACAAATAACATTTCCTCTCTCAAATTTGTTATCTTCTATTCTTTACATATACTCATCAAAAAATTGAGAGTATTAACAACTAAAAAGAGAAAAATATTATATAAAATAAAATTTTATTTGTGTGGGTTTGGTATGCATTCATCAATATTATGCTAAAAATTTGAAAGTACTGAATGTGAATGAATAAAAGAATATAAATAAAATAAAAAAAAAAATGGTGGAAAGATAGAAGTTTTCATTGATAGGAACATTAAAAATTAGTGGTAGCAGGAGTAACAGCAACAATACTATAAGCACCGGCAGCACTCAGCAGTGGTAGTAAAGTGATTCCGTCCCTTAAATATGTGTATTGTGTGTAATTGTGCATTTAAAAAAAAATTATTTTTTGGGATGGATTTTCCTGTGTTTTTATTTATTTATTTATTCATTTTTTTTTGTTTTTTTAATTTTTCCATATTTTACGTGGGGTTGTATTTAAATATTTTTCGTAATTGCCGTTGTTTTTTCGTTTTTTTTTTACTTTACTTCGTTATCTATTTTATATTCTGTTTACTATTCTCTGTCTCTATTAATTTAGGTATTCTTCTGACAATAGAGGTAAAAAAAAACAAGAGTAGATTTGCTTGTTTATTACGCTTTTTTATCACTTATTTTCTCGGGGTAGAGAAAATTTATAACGTTTTGCATTTTTTGTTATGATTCTGTTCATCTTCTTTTGTTTTTGTATATTGCTTTTCGTTGTATGTATAGGTTTTTGTTTATATACATACATATATATTTTCACATGCCATTTCTTCGACTTAATTTTTAGTTTAATTTTGTGATTTTGAATGTTTTTGTTTTGTATTTTCTTACCCTTAAACGGTTTTGATTGTATAGAGTGTATGTTGTATGTATAATAATAATACTGTTATATATATGTGCTTGTATGTATAGTTTATTTTGTTTAACCAGAATATTCAACAAAATTTTACCACCCGTTTATATATACAAATAATTTTCAATGGTGGTGTATAATTTACCTCAAATATTATTGTTGTATTATTTATTTTTGCCAGCCAGTTGCTTTTAGTTTGAGTTTTCTTTAGGGGTGAATAGTATATTTAGCGGTTTAGAGAGATTCATATTTAAGTGATACGTTGAATGATACGGCGGATTTTGAAAATTTTTTATGTTAATTGGAAAATCGGAATTTTAATCGTATAAAAAATAATTATTATAAATGTAATAGAAATTGAAAAAAAAGTTTATTTTATGATTCAGGGAGATATAAAATAAATAATGTAAAACGTTTCTGTAAATTTATGCAAATCATAATAAAAAAATAATTGTTTTTCTTTAAATAAATAATAAAATTAATATTAAACTAATAAATAAAATGGAAATATAAGAATTTTTGAGTGAAATGTTTGTGATTGTAAAATAAATATGCGTTCATATATGTATGTATAAATTTACAATTAAATTTATAGAGGATATTACGTGTATAATAAAAATATGATTACTTTTTATAGCTAATTTGTCGGGTTTTTTCATTTAATTACGTCATGAAAAAGTGAAATTTTCAAATAAAATAAAATTTATTGACTAAATTAAATTATAAATTATTAATAAACTAAAAAAAAAATTTTGGGTTAAATATTTGTTTTTCAATATTTAAATTTTAAATATCAAAAAATAAAACATACACAAATAAAAAAAATGTCTTGTTCAGAAGCTGAAGTTGATATTAATGTTGTTTCTAGTCCTGAACCAAGTCCTTTAGGTTGTGATAATGGAATTAATTCCCCGGATAGTCCTATATCAATGCAGGTATCAGCATTAGCTCGTTCATCTGAAGTGATTCCTTCAAATGCAATGATAGTTACAACAAATTCATTGAGTAGAACTCATCCGGTAACTGCTGTTGCAACTGCTGCTCTATTACAACAATCAGCAGCTGCACATCATTTACATCATATTAATTTAACTCATTCAGCAGCAGCAATGTTACATCATCAGCATCAACAACAACAGCAACATCATCAACATCAAAATCAACAACAAAATAATTTAGTTAATAATTTAAATAATAATAATAATAGTAATAATAATTTTAATCATAATAGTCCTGAATCAAGATTAAGTCCTCAAAAAACGCCTCCTCCAAAAATAATTTTACCTAATAGTAGTAATAATAATAATAATAATAATAGTATTATAACAAATAATAATAATAGTAATAACAATATTAGTAATAATAATTTAAATGAAAATTCATTAACTAGTCCTACTGATATTAACAATAGAAACATTAATAATAATAATAACAATAGTAATAATAGTAATTTAAATAATAATTTTAATAATTGTAACAATAATCAAAATAGTAATGCAACTAATGGTACTAATAATAATAGTAATAGCAATAATAATAACAATAATATAAGTACTAGTAAAACATCGACAGCAAATGGTTATACTAGTTTTTCAATATCAAGTATTTTAAGTCGTACGGAACCATCAAAAATCAAAAATGCTACCTCTTTAATTACACCTATGTCACAAATATCTGGCAGTGTAGGAGCACCTGGATCGCACGATGCTGCTATGTTATCAAGGTAATAATTAAAATTTAATATTATTATTTTCTTTTAAATAGTTTTCGTCTAAGTCGTAAAATAGTTCTTTTTCATTTCCGACGGTGGGCGTTTTTGTTATTTTAAGTAATAAAATTTTGAGTATGATTTATTTTTTGAAATTATTTTTATTATTGTTTTTTTACCGTTTAAATTAAATTTTTTTTCCTCTGCCTTGGGAGGAATAGGGATAGGGAAGAACTGTCTTAATTTGATTGTTACATTAATGTTATTGTAGCAGCAGTTTGTCTATTAAAGTTGAAACAATTAAACTTACTCTTTGAAAGTAATAATTGATACTGGTATGCGTAATCACATTTAAGTTTCAATTACCTTTGTTATGTTAAAAATCATGGATAACTCGTGTGTATGTCAAGAAACTTATAAAGAGGATAATGAAAATATTTTTACACTTTGAAACCTACGTTGAATATAATAATTTTCTATGAGTAATTGGTAAATACAATTTCGAGAGTGCAACGAGTTTCAACTATCTATAGGAACAATAATTCGCAATGACAATAATATGCACTTTACGATAAATGATAGATCGCAAGTGGGCAACAGGAGCTATCACGCTAACAAAAAACTTATACAATCGATTCTACTGCCCAGATGAACTAAGCTAATTATATATAAAACAATCATACGTCCAGTCGTGACATGTAGTAGTGAGACATGGACAATGAAAGAGTATAATTTAAAATTTTTAATAGCCGTTCTTATCTTAATCGTACGAGAAGTAGACCAAGAACAGGATGGGTCGATGAATCAGTTTGAAAACATCAGCGAAAGAAAGGGAAATTTCGTGGCAAATTGTGCAGAAGGCCAAAACCTATCCCGGGCTGTAGTGCCAAATAATGAGTGAATGAATGTGGAATTGAACAAGATTCATTTAGTTTTATATTATAGTTATATGGGATGTACAATATTAGCCATACTCATTTCGTTTTTTATTTCTTATTTTTCCAATACAATTATTTGTGCTTTTAAGGTTATTTTTGCTTCGGCGCAACTTACTAGCAGAGGTAATTGAAAGATTGCAATGATAGGTATAAAAACTACTCCTTTCCTTATTTTTTTGTTACTTTAAGCGCATTTAAAGTTAGTTTTGTTTAAAAAATAAATTAGTATAGCTTTAGTGCAAATATTATTCAAATTGTGAAATAAAATTATTGAATTTTCTTCTAGTGTTCAATTTTTGTGAAATATGATTTTAAGCTAGATGTTTCACCTAAAGTGAACTTAATTATAATATTGGATAAGTATTTTTAAAAGCAAGAATTAATGGTTATAAGATATATAAGCCAGTTGTATAATTATGGCAGTTGCATATATGTAAGTAGAAATACAATTCTAGAATTTTGTTTTGCCGTGTCATATTTACTTACATATGAGCTAGTCATACTGTTATTTGATAATGATTTTCACTGGACTCCTCTATATATTTAATCATACCTTTATGAGGTCGTGTTAATTAATTTTGTATTTTCTTCAATATATTATGAACATTCTTTTATTACTATTGTATTTATGTTAGTATAGTAGTTATATTAAGTATATATTTACTTTGGAATGTACAAAAGTTCAAATAAATTTCTAACTCATTTGTGTGCGTGAATAAGGACTGGATTTTAACCAATGCTACTCATACCCATATGTACATATGTAAACATTTATATGTAAATATATAGAAGGTCATAAACTTTTAAAAAGAATTTGGAATTTCATTTATTCTATCATTTTTCAAACTGTTTTACTAAAATTTCGCTCTTTATCAGAATTATGGTAATGCTAGAGTTCATCTTCTGTGTATCTTGTATTTCTACAATATTAATTAAAAAAAAAATTTCACTTTAATTAACCAAATACCTTTTTCAATTTCTCTTGTATCCAGAAATATTTATGTAGGCAACAGCTATAAAGTTTTTCATTATAATGGACAAAATAAAAATGTATTTAAAATATTTTCTAAGCTAATTAGAATTTTATTTGCATAAAATTAGTTGATTAGAACAAAAAATAGCTATAGAGGAAAGAAATAATTTTTATGTTTTTAATATTATTGCTATCTGTTAAAATACCGATTAAAAATTAACATATATAAGAGGACATTCCTCAAAAATAATACCGCAATATTTTTTATTCAGCATTTTAAAATTCAAAAAAATATTGTTTAAAGAATTAAATTTTTCAATTAATTCATTATTGTGTACAATGAATTTCGAAAAGAAATTGTAGGTATTTATAAATTTTTGGAAGAGATCATCTTTTATTAAATTTTGTAAAATATAAAAATAAAATAATTTAAACCATAAATAACAATATAAAACTTCACAGTTCGTTAATTTTATTGGATCCTAACGGATAAAATATTAAATACTTGTGTGAGCGTGTGTGTGTGTAAAACTTCGATCATATAAATTGTATTTTACTTAAATGTCCTGTATTATCACCTTTTCATCTGATCTAAGATAAGATTAAAGCGCATGCTATACGACCGCAATACATAATTTTTATATTTTTTTTTACTACATCGCATACAATTCATTTTATATGAGAAGATGTTCACATATGCAAGTTCAGATCTTTATTTGTTGACCCCTCGCTTTCTTTTGACTGCTTTACTTTTTGTTAATTTTTTATTATAGTTGTATACAATGTTAAAATGAGGTTCAATGGCTATTTCAGTTTTTAATATTAAAGTAAGAAATTGAAAACTTTGTATATGAAATTAAAACAGGAGAAGAAAAAATGCAACGAATGTGGAACAAAAATTCTCTGCAACGAATAATACAAGTCTTTTTTTTCTTTCCTACACTCAAATAGTTTGTTATAAAAAAATATACAAAAAAAATTTTTTGTTCTATTTCTTTTTTTGTAAATCGTTTCTTTTTTAATTTGATATCGGTCACAATGTCTGGTTTGACCGATGGAATAATAAGATTGTGGGTGATGTGCGTGCAGTCACAAATCATCATTAACAAAAATGAAAATAAGGAAGTAAAAACGAATGAAATAACAACGAAAAAATAAAAATTAAAAGATCAAGCGCACTTTTGTGAAAATTATAAAATATTTTGGGCAAATAGTAGTTTGCCACTCAATGCTGAGTTAAACCAATTTTGAAAGATATAATAAGGAAGAAAATTTATGAATTTTATAGAATTTGGAATAGCGTGTAGGGTTTGTTAGGTTTGAAGGCTGTACTGAGATTAAATGTTAGTTTTAAAATTTTGAAAATAGTATAGAAGTTCTAATAAATATTAGCTTAATGGTAGCGGACTCACTAATTATTTCCTAGAAATACCAATAATTTTTGATGTAAAATAATTGAAAAGCTAGAAATTCAATATTTTAAGGAAATTAAAAAATTTTATTTGAAATTTCTAAGTGAAAGTGCCAGTGTCGAGAATTGGTCAGATAAAATATTTCATTTTCGGATGAACAGAAATTTCATATGGCTGTATTCTAGTACCAGATTGCCTTTTGAATAATTAAAATTAATATATTTTAGAAAATATAGTCCAAATCCTTTAGTAGATAAAAGTGTCATTGACTGTTTCCCCAGTAATATATACATACATAGGTGACATTAACATTTTTAAATTTTAACTATTCTATTATTATCAAAATTTTCTCTTTTAACACATTTATCTACCTTTTTAAGAAATAATTGAAATTTTTTAACAAAATTTTTTTAGGAAAACGTTAATATTAAAAAATTCACATTGTCTTTTTTCAGATAGGATACAAAATACTAACCAAAAAATAATTTCATATATAGATGGTTTCGTATTTAGATATATATTAGCTTTTTGCCTTCATTATTTTTTAAAAGATTCCTAAATTAGATAAACAATATACTAAAAAGATTAAACTATAAAAAAATTCATCCCTAACAAAAAAATTAACAATTAACAAGGGGACCACGCGCGTCTTTATAAACCATATGAAAGTTAATTAGAACAGTGTTTCTGTTTTTTTGTTTTTGGTGTGGTTTTACGCAAGGGCTTGATCATAAAAAAAATTTTTTCGATTTTATCAAGTCATTAAGTATTTTGAGTCGCGTGGGCATGCGTTCTCCTTTTGTATTGCGCATATTAAATATATGTATGTAGGTATATATAATATATATAAATAATAATGTAAAATTCTGGTCCGGTTACATTTTAATGATAATGACTTAACAAACAACAATTATAGCAAGAAAAAAAAAAAACTGAAATGAAAATAAAACAATTAGGACGAAGAAATTAAGGGTGGCGTTGGTTGTTTTTTTTTTTAGCTTTATCATAATCAGACTATATAAGAACATCGATCGTCATTTAATTGTTTTTAAGAAATTTGATATTTTGCGTAAATGAAAAAAAAATTTGAAAAAAAAACTTTCATAGCCATTTAATTTAAAAGAATTGTGTTAAAGACCCTTTTATTTCCAAGATATTTTTCAAATATGAAAGTATGAAGTTCCTATTGAAAAAATTGATTTAGTTTAATTGGTTTAATACAATTAAAAATTTTTTTTTTGGATTTGTATACCTACATAGTTGAATGACATGTTTAAAAAGAATTCATAATAGGTCTGTCCAAGACAAGTAGTTCATTATAACGCATTAAAATGCTGAGAAATAATGCATAAGATGGAAATGTGACATATAGCACAAAATTGGGAGAAATATGTGACGTAATTATTTCTCTGACAATTTATTCAATAATTGTTTGACATTTTTAATATTTGTTTTAATTTTGCAGAATTTAGAGAGCATCTCGGCTTTATTATGTGGCACATTTTTGTTCACTGCATGGTGACGAGAAAAGTGTGTGAAGAAATGATTTGATAATAATAATAATTTACCAAATATCTAATATTCAAGAAAAAAAAATGTTAAAGAGAGAGATTTTGATTATCACTCATATTTATCTTACTTTCCGACAATTATGAGTGATATTTAGCGTAGCGTCTCTCTTTTTTAGAAGTG